CTTTTCTCTAAACGGGCCCCCTCTGGTAGGTTCCAGGGCAGCATGGGCGGGAAGGCATCGCGAACACCATTGCCAGCGGATCCTAGAGGATCTGGGGCCCCCTACAAGTCGCTGAAGTGGCAGCGTGGACTGCAACAGCCTCCGCCGCGTTGCAAAACAGGGGGCTCAAGTCGTTTCCTCCTGGCCGATTGAATTTACCGTTTTCAAAGTCACCTCCAGGGTTGAAGGACAAAAAAGCAAATAACAATCAGAAACTGCTAGAGTAAAGGCCCGTCCCTAAGCCACATTTGACTCCGTTTGGCATCAAATACGTGCTTTGCCCTGCCCTAAACCTGACACGCCTCAATTCTGCATCCCATCTGAAACTGTACCTTGACACCTCCGATTTCCAGGGTGGATTCGACACAAGCCCACAACCCCGGTGGCACCCTCCAAATTCTTAGGTCTCACCGGGGGAAGGTTAGATACCACCCCAACTCCTTGGTTTCCTACACCCAAACCAAAAATGCCGGGGTCACTGGGCAGCCAGGAGAAAGGAGAATGCGTGCACCCGAAGAACCCCTTGGGATTTCCTCTGGGCTGTGAACTAGTGGGCATTCAACAAGTATTGTTTGTCAGACGGCACTCACTTCCCGTGCATGGATCATCAGCAGTTGCCACTCATGGTCATAGCCATTGTCGAAAGTATTGCAAGACATGAATCACACGTCCAAAAGCCTCAGTTCTGCACAGCACAAAAACAAAAAAAGAAACCTGAGGGGCTACCTGCAAATCGTGCATCGATCATGCTACATGCTGGCAGTAGCTGCATGTACCAAATAGACTCCGCTGGCATTTCATGGGGCGCCTTGAATGGAGGCGCTCGGAGTTTTCACCGGTGAAACTTGTGGGAGTTGCTTGAGGGACTTGACGCTTCCAGTGAATCAGTCAGAGATGTGGGCAGAAGATGCGTGCGCGTACATCCCACAAAGACATGCGCTGCTTTTGCTTAAACCTAGACTGAAACAAAGCTTGGGCCCAGATGTTGAATAGGATTATCTCGGCAGTTTCTCAAGGGCACCTGGCCCGTTGGAATGCTAAATAAGCCACAACCATATCAACTTTCCCCAACGGGGTCGGGTAAATCGATTTCCCTCACGTCCCGTTTAACGACTAGAAAGGAGAGCAAGGCACGGGCCCCTGAACCACAAAAACCGACAAATCTTTGGGTTTCATTTGGGTCTACGTCTTGGAAGGAACCTCCCGGCGATTCATCGGGGTTTCACCCGAATTTGCTTGGCTGGAATTAGGACCCCAGCCAAAAACAACCACTTGTTTGCCTGGTTGGTGGAAAACAAAGGGGACCCCAAAAAAGCCCCCCCCCCCCCCCCAAAAAGGGGGAACTAATTCTGGGGAAGTTTGGAGGCCAAAGGGATCTTCCCCCCGCTCACCACGACTGGCCTGCAGACAAAGCTGGACTCCCCAGGTGTCACGGCGGCTTTCAGTCGTGCACGCCTAAGGAATCCCAGCTGGGATCCACAAACTGGGGTCTGGACCGAACCATGTGGCTGTGGCTCAAAGAACCGGAATTCCAAAATGGGTTGCCCTGAAAAATGGAAACATGGACCAAAACCTGCGGTTTGCCCCTCCTGTTTAATTTTGTGGGCATGGGTCAACATTAAACCAACAGGAATAGGACCGCAGGAATTTTAGCCCATGTTTCCATTTGCCAGGGATCCATTTTGGGTACCTATTTTGGACCCACAGCCATGTTTTGTGAAGAAACAAACAACGGAAACCCATGTCGGGTTCCTTTTTGGGAAAGTGATGGGCTAAAAACACAGAGATGCAATGGGCTTATTGCCCAGGTCTGGCATGGCAATTCAGGGTGAGCCAATCAAACACCTCGAGAGGACCAAAATCATGTTTCCAATTATAACCAAACACCAAAGACCAAAGGCAAGGAAACAACTTCATGGAAGCGTCCAGCGATTCCCTGAGCAAAACACCGCCCTCCGAACATCTTTGCCCTTGGATGGATGAGTCCATTCATTGGGCGTAGGCCCGCTTGGAACCGTTTTGAGGTCGCCACTGTGCACGGCCGCGCTCGGCGTCTAAAAGAAGGCCGTTGTGATGGCCTCATGGCGCAGTTAAAACTCGAGGGGCTTAAGGTTGACCTTAAGGTCACTTTAAGGTTACCTTGCCCCACCTTAAGGTCTTAAGGTCCCTTAAGTCCCCCCTTAAGATCACCGTAAGGTCACCTTTGGCCGCCCGAAAACGCGAATCCCACACTGAGGCCAGCGGTGGAAACCCCTCAAGCCAGGGCCGCGGGCGCAGCAGAAGGGCCAGGCCCAGTACCTTCTCCTGGCGAAAACGAGGAGAGGCCTGCCGAAACCCTCCTGCCGTGGGAGAAGAAACGGGCGCACTGGCGTAGGGTTGAGCTTCAAAACATGATCAGCTTTTTGCGAATTAGTGGGTTGCTGGTTTGGGGTTGGGTGAAACATGTGGGACCAGATCCATGTTGAGCCATTCCCTTCAGGGAATTGCGCCTTTCACCCTGAAGGGAAGGCACTGGAGCTCTGGGATCTGGATATCACCAGCCACCAAATTCCAAATGCCTCCAAACCAAAAGGGAAGTTTCAGGCAACATCTGCGCTGACCTCAAATATCGGTCAACCTTCCTGGGACCTTGGCTGGGATATATATATATATATATACACGTCCATCTGAGCACATGGCACTGCTAGACATGAACCAGGCTGAAGCATCAAGTTTCAATCAAACTGACCAACAACCCCTAAGCCCGGAGGTCCCATGTTTGTCAGAAACCCCTCAAAATGGTCCTATAGTGGACCCTCGTCGGACTTCATAGGCCCCGGCTAGGTCCTATCAAGCCTTCTGGGATTGTTGGGCTTCTTCTGTGTGTGTGTGTTGGCGGGGGTTGACCGCAAGCAGGAGCCGGGAAAACAAATTATGTGTCGGGAGAAATCGCGCAAACCTTGTGCTTGCTCAACTGTTCCAACGCATCAATTGGGTTGACTCCCAAACTGGACCTGCGGTCTCGGGAAGAATGCAGCCCACTGTCCTCTTATTCCCTAGGTTTTTGAGTAGAGAGCTTCGCATAGGGGTACCAACTTTTTTCTGTAGTCTATTTTTATAGGGGAACCCTCCCCAAAAAAGGCGTAAAAGGGCACCAATTGCTGGAGGAGCTAGTTCCCCGCGCCTGCCAGCCTCCCCGTGGCTGGGGGGGGGGGTGGAGTGGGTGCCCGCGCCTCGTTCCGCTGGCCTTCTGCCAGCTTGAGGGCCTTAGCCGAAAGCCGAGGCCAGTGTGCGTGCCCTGTATGGTGCGTCTGTGTGTGTGTGTACAAAAGCCACAAAAGCCACGTACACACACATATATATATATATATATTATATCAATACATGCGCAGGTGTATGTGTAAAACAGAGGATATAATGTAGCAGGTACGCGTGCTGCACAAATTGTGCAAATCTATATGTAGGTGTGCATGAAGTCACTAGGCAGCTTTCAATCATGCACCAGCCGGAAATGAGCAATCCCCAATCAGAGCATGGGTGAGCTCGTGTTGCCCAAAAGCGAGCTCGTTATAATTTTGTAAGCATCCTGTACAAATTGTTCAGATCATGGTTTATGTGTGAATGTATGCTATGCTGGAAACTGGATAGAGTTGTCCAGTCCAAGTAGGAGTGATGTCTCTGCACATAGGAGCGGTCCTGCTTGTCGGGTTCAAAGGGCTGTAAGGGACCTAGGGTTGTTCTCGTCAACGTTCCCAGGAATCCTCATAGGGATTACGCTAACTGTTCAAACACAAAGCCATTTTAGGGATTTCCCCTGTGTCCGGTTTGCATCCCATTTTACTTGTCTACCCCGCACAAAAAAAACAAAAAAAAAAAAACATCTTGCACCCTCCTGGCCCTCCCCTCAATAGACGTCCTCTAATCCAAGATCAAACGCTCAAGTTCTGACTGCTTCACGCGACAGACCCTCTCAAAAATAAGATCCTCTTCGAGGTAACTTGCGCGCTGCCTGTGCTTGGGTTCTGTGGGAACTGGCCCTCTGGCTGTGGCCAAGGTGGGTTGCCCAGCCAAGCATGACTTGACTACATGATCACTTGAAAGGGGATTCAAGGGCAGGCCAGAAAGTGACAAGCTACAACTCAAGGAGCCAAGCTGGGAAGCCCCGCCGCCTCCACCGACACTGCCGCGTCTGGCACCTGACGACTTTGGGCTGAAGAGACGTCAGTGGCTTGGGAAAAGGTCAGCAGGCCTTGAGCTGCGGCCAATCACACATGTGTTGCGGGCACGCCCTTTCTGAACGTGTTGCCCGCACTGGCAACGCGCGAGAGAAGGGGAAATCGTCTTGACAACACTGTCACGGTTCAGACTTGGTACGGCTCCTTCTCTAAACTGTGGACACGTTGGTGGGGAAGCCATTCCAAGAAGTGGCCGCAGCAAAACGGCGAAGCCCTCTGCTTTCCAAATCACAGGTCGAGGGCAATCCTCTCGACGTGTGGCAAGCCAAGCCCCCAAAGCATGTTTCTGAACATATTATAGGTCTCACAAATGTGTCCTGTTATGTGTCCTTTAAAAACAAATAACACAAATAACGAAACATTGTTTTGTATTTATTTTTCCAAGCAACAAGGATCCACATTTTGAGAAACTCGCCGCTGATCTACATTGGCACCCTCGGTGCTGATCAGCTCTCCAGCCAATGGCAAAGCCAAACTCTGCTGGCCGTGCTATTCACGTGGCCGTTGGGAGCCGTTGCGGCCCCCAAAGACTAGGACAACTCAGCCAAAACACAAAAAGAAACCTATTGGTAGGCTGCTTTGGGGAGCATTCTTGGGGTGTTGAAATGACCATGGGGTTATATTGCTGGGAACTGTTGAGTCGAATGCCTGGAACCAACCTGGAGATCTTTATCTAATGTGCACCAGGAGGAGCTCTCTTCCATCAACAGTTATCAGAAGGAAGCTCCGACTGGAAGCCCGAATTCGTCACAAGCATTGCCAGAAAGCTGTACATAGCGGCTGCTTGCAGTCGCTCCTGGTCTCCTGGAGCAGGCAAAACCGGCAGCAAGAGACGGCGAGCCACTCTGAATGTTGACTTGATGACTTCCAGTTCCACTTGTCTAGTCTTCCCCGCCCAAAATCCAAAAAAAAAGCTAATCCCCTCCCCCCCAACCAAAAAAACACACACACACAAAAAACGACCGGACCAATATTGAATTTCCATGGCTGATCCCTGTCATCTGTAATTTTTCAAGAATGGGCAGCAAAACACCAGGAACCGTACTCACAAATCAAGAAGCACGTGGGCAGGCAGGCAAGCAAGCGAGCAAGCAGCCAGGCCGCAGGCAGTCAGCAGCAGGCAAGACAGCCAGCGAGCATTGAGCGAGCCAGCGGCACACACAGAGACACAAACAACCAAACCAACCGACCAAGGAAACAAGCAAGCAACATCAAGCAACCAAGCAACCAGCCAAGCAACCAAGCAACCAGCCAGGCACCCAAGCAAGCAAGCAAGCAAGCAAGCAAGCAAGCAAGCAAGCAAGCAAGCAAGCAAGCAAGCAAGCAAGCAAGCAAGCAAGCAAGCAAGCAAGCAAGCAAGCAAGCAAGCAAACAGAAAACCAGCAACACCAAGGTCACCAAGCAGCACCTAGGACCCGAGCAGCAACTGCAAACCACCAGCCTCCAGGCTGCTTCCCCACCCCCGGCCGCCCAAGGCCCGGTCCACTATGCGCTTGGCATTTATCAGCGTGAAGTCCAACTTGGGCACAGGACGCTCAGAGGTTGTGCCCACTCGCCCGCTCAGCGCGCGCCTGAGTAAAACGCCGAACGGCCGGGAGCTCCAGGCCATGGACAATTCACACCAAGTAGGTTTGAGAGACCCTACAAATTGTCACTTTTCTTGCTTGCGCCCTCTCCAGCCTTGCAGCCAAGGGTGTCCAGCGCGGGCGTGCGCGGACAGGGCATGCTCCCCACACTGGCTGAAATTTTGAGGGGTCCGACTCCTGTTGGGACAGGGCGCAGAAATTCTACACGGCCCCTCATTTGGGAGGCAAAACCGCCTCTTTTTCAGGGCAGGAAGCCAAATTTGAGTCTTCTTTTTTTTGAGGGTGCCCAATCTCACCTTGGTTTTAACCAGGAAATTTCAGATTCCAGAGTCTTGGAGGCTCCCCTCTTTTGACCAAAAAGGGTGTACCCCCAAAGACAGACACACCCATACTGGAGATCTGATTTGGGGTGAAGGTGGCGGGGTGGACTCGCTCCCCCCGCCACCCCCTGCCATCTTTTTGCGGGCTGAGCGGCACGGGCGGCTCCTCCTCCGGCAGCTGCGGCTCGGGGGGGGCCTTCGGCGCCGAGGGCTGGGAGGCGGTGGAGCGGCCGCTCAGCGCCCAGCTGGGGCTCTCGAGGTGCAAGCGCTCGCCCTCGGGCGCTCGCTCGGCGCTTTGGCCCGGCCGCGGGTCTTGTTTTTTTGTCTCTAACAGTCCAGGGGTGCTTAGATAGCCCTTTTACCCCTTGGACAAATGAACATCCGGAAACAAGGGGTACTTCCACCCGTCTGAGGATTTCTGAAGAAAAACGCGCCCTCCCAGGGATTGTCCCGAGGCTTCCCACAAGGTGTCCCTAGAAAAGACCGTGTTTTTTTTGTTTCCGAGGGTTTAAGGAAAAAGGCAACCAAGGGTGGTCCATTTGTACACAAATCGCTCACACAAGAGCGCTGCAGGTACAAATGGACCATGAAGGGTAACCAGAAAGTTTCCCTAGTTTGGCTAGGGCTGTCCAATCTCACCAGGGGCCAAAAGCGACTCTTCGGGGCTACTAGGTGTTCTTTGTACGGGTCTCTTCTTTACTTCCGTCCAATTGGGGGTAAGGCAACATGAGGAAGGTGCCAGGTACCCCTCAAATTCCAAACCACCAAACGCAAACAGCGCACGAAGTACTTCCCTCCAATTGGCGGTTTGGTGGTTGGGGTGGTTCCCCCACTTGCCCAAATCCAGCTAAGGCTTCCCTCAAAACGGGGCACCCTCAAAAAACAATCCCATTTCAAGTCACCCGTTCCCAATAATTTAAACTGGGGGGTTCCATCATTTTAGTGAAGGGCAAAGATGAACAAATGTCCACACGTCAGGTCAACACTTTCTGCAGCCATCAAAACGAAACAAACAGCTGCACTTTCGAACCTTGAGTACCCTGTGGGCCCTGTAAATAGTTGGGGTTTAACCCTGTGCGGCAAGAAAAGCCCAACCCACTTAACCGGAACACAACAAACACCACCACCAGACAGGCCCCCATTCACCCCGCCTTGCGGATGTCCGGTGGCCGCAGGTTTAGATTTGCCACACGCCAACACACCCTTCCGAAGAGCTGAGGTCCTGTGGTGGTCTTTCTGTGCGCGTGGAAAGTGGGTGTGTCCGCTTCCCTCTGATTGGGTTTGGACTTGTGTGGTTTGGAGGCGTGGAGGTTGGGTGAAGGGGTTCAAATCCAAAACCACCAAGTTAAACGATCAACGAAGCGTTATTATTATCAAAATAGGCGTGCTCCGAGAAGCGGCGTGTTTGCAACATGTGTGGAATATGACTGGCACATGAGATTTGGAAACTCGAAATTGGGAGATTGCCAATTGCGTCTACTCACAGACCCTAAGAGAATATGAGAATTCGCACCTGCAAGGATCCATCGCCCTTTGGGTCAAAAGCACGTCAAGGATCTGTTGAAATGTGGACATTGAACAGCAATCAAGAGCTGGATCGTGGGAACTGGGGGGAGGGAGTAGTGCTGGCTTCTGTAGTGCCGGGGAACCGAACAACAGGGACTTTGTCAAACCCCCTTTCAAGGATCTTTCCAACATATCCAATGTCCAACATGTGCACGACTTTGACTTCGCATGAGTTCCTATTGATCGAATGTTCAAATGGCCAGCCACCGGTTTTGCCTGGGTCAAAAACAGGTTGCCGGTAAACAAAGCTTGGTATGGTTGGTCTAAGATCGTTTCGCGAGAACTGATCTTGGGTTGGTGCATAAAAACTCGCAACCGAAGGCTAGACGGCTCGGCTACGCAGGGAAGGCTTTGCTCTTGCATGAAAGGCTCCACGCTTGGGGTTCTTTTATTCTCCAAAGGGTGGCAAAAGGCAACTCATGGCGCGAAGCTCACACGGGTGCAGTCTTAGGTGAGTGAAGAATCTGCAAGTTCGAGTGGGTTTCGAGTGGCGTGACGGATGGCTTCCCTTTAGGTGCGAAACCGCTACAAAAGTCAACATGAAACACGCATAGCAGGAGAAACAACGGGCCAAAAGAACTTTGTATCACTGGCCGTCACCAGGCGTCCCTGGTGATCACTGCGGAGAGCTTTAGTCGATGGAGCTTGGCAGGCCTGCTCCATCCCCCTGCATTTAGAGGCGTCAGGGTTGAACTGACACTCAGCACACACACACACACACAAAGCCTCACAGAGACACAAGTGCAAATGCAGATGCACATGCAAATGCACATGCAAATGCACACACGCATGTTTGCCCTGGTTTGCGAGTATTGAACCACAATGAATTCATCCTAATCAAGCAGATCGGAAAAAGAACGCCTAAAGCCTGGGTGCACCTGGCAGTGGTGTTCACAACAAATTCGTGAAATCATATGGGGCGGTGAGTTTATAGAATCAACTGCCGCAATTGTTGTGTCAGGGAGCTGGCAACTTAGGTCGTTTCCCAGGCAAGTGCGTGCGCAAGGAGTTGAAATTCATTTCCTGCCGGGCACAATCTGACACCTCTCCAGGAATGAATGAACAGAGACAAAACAACAAAGCAACGCCAGGTAATGTGAGCGTCCTTGTCCCCAAGCTGAGTGGCGTCACCTTTTGGACTGTTGCTGCTTTGAACAGTTTGTGGAGTAAAGCCTCGCTCCTTTCCGAAGCCAACATCATCTTGAACTTCCATGCAGCAGTGCAAAAACTGGCAATTTTGTCGGCCAGCGAAGCCAAAGTCAACCAGCCCCCCCGGGTGCTTTGTTGGCCAGCCCCCAACTGGATCTACGCCAAGCATATCAAACTAAGTCCAGCAAAGTACAAAAAGCAGGTGTCCTCCAAGGGTGCGAGAAGGGTTGTCAGTCTTTTACCTGAGCATCACACTAGGAGCTAATCATCACAATAGGATTGGTTAGGGTTTTAGATGGTTTTAGTGGTGTCCTCTAAGATTGTGACAGCTCGTTTCCTTGGAGTGGGGCAAAGGAATTCCGCAGCTCTCCTTTGACCACCTCGCCCACCACGGTGTAGCCCGGCTTCAGCTCCAAGAGCTGAAACTCCACCTCTCCGCCCGAAGCAGAGCCCGGCCCTCGGAATCTCTAGGCCATAAATATATGGGTGTGGCTCAAAATTAACCAGGAGGGGTTACGCAGGTTTTGGTCCATGTTTCCACTTACCAGGGTTCCATTGTGGAATTCCGGTTTTTTGA